CCCCCTACCCCAACCCAACCCAAGTAGGATGATGGGTGGATACTCATTTCTTCTTAAACCGCTCCGCCAGCTCCAAAGTCAACAGCACCGGCATCTTGGCCTCGACCTCGACCACATCCGCCCGAATATGGTTGCTCGTGCTCAGCTGGCCCCCGATCTCCGTCTTCCAGTCCCGCACATCCCACTGGAACCCGGCGGTGGTGATCCGCGCCGGTCCCAGGAGCGGGATGATCCCGACGTTTTCCTCGAGGAGATGCGTTTTTTCCGGGGTGGTGGTGGTGGTTGTGGTGGTGGTTGTGGTGGTGGTGCTCTGCACCTCGGGGATATCTTGCTTGTTTTGACTGTCGGTGTCATGGCTGGGTGCTGGGGTAGTGGCGGGGCGATTCACCCGCGGCGTGTGCACGGTATTCCGGCCGGGGCGGAGGATGAAGGTTATGCTTTCTTCGGAGATGAGGTAGAGGTTTCCCCCTTTGGGGTGGGGTTCATCAATGCTGGAGCTGGTGGTGGTGGTGGTGCTTGTGGCTCGGAGCTCCTGCGTCATGTAGAAGAGGTGGTGGATTTGGGAGAAGGCTTGGTCGACGCGGCCGCCTAGGCCGCCTAGGATGAGGATTTCGAGTTGAGGTCGGGTTTGGGGTGGGGTTTGGGGGTTAGTGGTAGAAGTGGGTTCTGTGGTGGGTTCTGGATTTGCTGGTGGTGGTGGTGGTGGTGATGGTGCTGCTGGTGTGGATGATGATGATGATGATGGGGTTGGTGCTGCTGCTGCTGCTGCCGCCGCAGCAGTAGCGAGAATAGTCGCCGTGTTCCTTTGGATGTACTGCAGGCTCTTGTGGAAGTCCGTGCTGTAGTCGTCGATGTGTTGGATGACGGGGACGCCCAGGGTCTCGTAGTGCGTGCGGATCTCCGGGTGGATGGAGTCGAGGTCGCCGATTATGGCGCTGGGGAACTGTGCGGGTTTCGGTTAGTTTTTGGGAAGGGGGGCGGGAGAGGTTGTGGGGAGAGAATGGAGAATAGGGGATGATGGTGGGATATTTCTTGGTTTTGTTTACAGTAGGGAGGGGTGGAGGGGATGGATGTACTGATGATGTACGGTACTCACATCTGTAAATTCCCTCCCGCGGGCCTTCATCATCTCGTAGAAGCGGTTTGCGCCGCCGTCGGCGCAGACGGTGATACATGCTGCCATTCGTTATTAGCCAGGGGTCTTGAAGCTTGGATGCTTGGGCTGCAGGGGGGGTGGGTGTAGATGATTGGACATGTGTAGCTTCAGGGGTCAAACAGTGGTTAGGTACTTAGTAGGTACCTAGGTAACTCACCATGTCGCTGTAGAACATCGTAGGCCTTTTCGTTGATTGGATGGTTGAGGATCAACAGGGCATACGGCGAGGAAGGGTATCCCTCGCGAAAGAATTGCGTGGGATCCCACTCTGTCACTGCCATGGGGGTTTTGAGTCGGTAGGGCAGGTCCATGGTATCTTTTTGTCCTTTCTGGTGTGAGACTGTCCTGGGAAGGTTGTTCGGGGTGTGATAGGGACCGGCGTTATCAAATGCGAATTTTGGAGACGGAGATGGGTTCCAAGTTGTCCCCGTTCTTTTTTGCTTGCTCGTGTCCTAATATTTGGTTCTGTGTTTGAATCTTTGTTCTTGATAGTGGAGATGCAGACTCAGAGTGTAGGGTACGCAGTCACGAGAGCATCTTCAGTCGGTATACTAAAAAGGTATTGTATGTAGTACACTGCACCACTTACTGTCGATCGATGGTCTGATCTGGAATGATCTCAACTGATCCGATAAGTTCAACCCCTCCCTCCTCCTCCTCCCTCTTCAGCCACAGCCACATGGCCGCGCCGATTCGCGGGGTGTGGCTGGAGCCAGCAGAGGCTGACGACAGGCTGACTAACTTTACTACAACAGCCCTCGGCTGCCATTGGCTCCCCGCTTCTCGTATTCCCCCAAGCTTCGATCTACTACATCAGTTAGTAGACTCGCCCTTCAGTTTCTCACGATCTGCTTATAATGAGCATCACAGGTGAGACTCAGCTCCGACTATGGTAGCCCGCAGCAGGGGCTGTGCACTCTGCGTGCAACGTAGAGTCAAGGTTAGTTCATCTTATTTCAGAACTAAACCATATCCACTGACTGTTGCAGTGCGATGAACGACAACCTGGATGTGCGAAATGCGAGACCTATGGAGAGCCGTGCCCTGGCTATGGTCCCCGCTTTAAATTTATTGCTGGGAAGCCATATCGCACTCAACGACGTCGAAAGTCAGGCTCTAATCAGGATGGCTCATCCCCCGAGTCACTCGCTGTAGTCCAATCCCAGCCTCTGCGGCAACGTACAAATCCGCTGTGCAATCTCTCGTCCATTGCTTCGGCTGATATGAACTTGAGTCAGTGCCTTTGCGTCTTGATACAGGAGATTTCCAAGCCATTTGCTGCGAACTCGGCGCATGTTACGTCTCGCTGGTTCGGGTTTCTGCCTACAGTGTATGGACGCAGTAGGACCTTGGACTTGACGATTAAATCCTTTACAGCGCATCAGATAGGTAACCTGACGAGTGATCCGCAAGCGGCGCAGTATGCGAGACAGCTGTACGTTGAGTCTTTGTATCGACTGCGGACCTCGTTGGGCAACTCCCGGGAATGTTATTCGCCCGAGGTGTTCTGTGCTGTAATGCTTCTTTGTCTGTACGAGGTGAGTTGCGTGCCATGTCTTTTCATCACAAACGACTCTAATGCACATAAGTTGTTCACCAATGTCCACGACGCAGATGCCTGGATGAAACATGCTAAAGGATTGAGCCAATTGGTGGAGCTACGAGGAGCAGCTCGCTGCACCACCGAGTTCGACCATGTGCTGCTCAAAGCTGCTCGGGGTCTGATAGTCATGTACTCTCTCTTCTCCGGGCAGCGCTGCTTTCTAGCCTTGGAAGAATGGCACACTGTGATGAAGCAGCACCCCAATTCCGGCCTGGGTGCCGATCTTGCGAACCTGGTCGAACAGTTCTTCGCGTACTTCACCTCTGCGCCCGGTCTTGTGCATCAACTTTACGACCTCAAAGACGCAGATTTCACTAAGCCGGATTCTGTCGCCAAAGCGGGTGATCTGCTCTTCCAAGCCTTGGTCATGCAGAGTAAATTATCCGAATGGCTCGCCAATTTGTCTGCAGTCACGCCGTTGCCTGGTGAGACTCGATCTGCGTCAGGGGATCTGTATTATCCTACTGTGCTCGAGTACTCAAATGAGAGCGCCGCGTCTATTTTTTGCGGGTATTACTCTTACATGATAATCATACACGAGATACTGAGGGTCTGCGGTTATCCTGGTGATCACAGCGCCACCGTTGTCTATTTCCGAGACCAGATCTGCAAGTCGGTTGAGTACAATGCTCGGGGTCTGCTGGGACCATATCGCATGGGGTTTCCCTTGAGGGTGGCCTATGAAGTTGCGGATCCTGCTACGAGGGCTTGGATCGAGGGTCGTTTGGAAAGGCTCTCGAAAGTGTACGCGGCCGTGCGTCCACAGAACTTCGGATGATCACAACATAAAACCTCAACGATATATAGTGTCTAATTATCTACCCATGGCTAACCCGAGAAACAGCCGCCCAATTTATACGCTTAGACCTCTGGGTCAGCTGGGCCTCCCTTAATGGGCCACAGGGGCTCCGCTACGGCACGAGCTAGCAGCAAGATAATGACAATGAAGACCTCCGTCACTAGTCCCATGCCCACCATAACACCCTCACTGCCGTCGATGGGGCTGTATTTCCGTGGACCAAACTCCGCTAGCAGGAAGTAGACCACGCGGACCACCAGAAAAGGAAGAGCACCCAGCACTATCAACACACAGCTGTGTCCGGCTGGTGAGAGGACGGGACGATATGTCACCGCCAGCCAGCTCACCAGACCACACACAAAACAGAAAGTGGCGGCAAACACGGCTCCTCCAGCATACATACAGCCAGGGATTCCGATGCACTCGCCTACCACTACCAGGACAATGGAGATTATGACCGGGAAGCGAAAGAAGTGGAGGAGGAAGCGGACATGTTTGGGGAAGCGGGAGTTTCCGGGGCCGGTGCGACCTGCTTGTCCACTGTAGCTCGAGAGTTGCTGTCAGTCGTGTCTAAATTCAACGGTTGGTCCTTCTCTTTTGTCTTACCTTCGCAAAAGAACGAGGCTCACTTCAAACAAGAGAGGCGAGAGCCCAATACTTTGCAGAACGGATTCTGCTATAAGCATTGACTCGTTTGGATGGCGATTGGAGATCACCATGGCCGAGTCGGCGATCCGGACTAGGTTGACGGAGGTCAGTGCATGTTATTAGTACACTATGGTGTACATACTCTGGGATAATATGCCCAACAGCCCCCACCATGAGTACAAGAAGCACCGCGCAGGGCGTTTCTGTTTCCTATGGTGCCAGTAACGCCATTCCTGATTGTACCTCATGAGGAATTGGACCAGCTGAATGATCGAGAATAGGACAACCTCAACTATGGCGACGTGCCGCTTCTCTGGAGATATTATGGCGATATTGGGATTATAGCCAACCATGTTGAAAGTCAACTAGGTCACAGTAAACACAGCGAAGTATAAAGAATGGACGGAAGTATAGAGCAGGAGACGAGGAGAAGACCAGGCGACGACACCAAGGTGGAGTGCTCAGCCCGGTTATATATACTAACACCATCTTCAATTAGACTTTTTCTCCCTCTTTCATCGCTTCGAATTCTTTTTCTGCTCGCGTGAAAGCTCACAGCATAGCCATGGCCATCCTCGTGCCTGGTGGAGACATCGCGATGAGTGACCATTCTAGGTTTAGCGCATCTGGTGCGTCAGTAACCAATCATTCGGCTCTTCCGTCCTATAGATTGCGGGCGAAGTCTTCCACCCATTCAATTAGGCTGTCTGTGCGCATCGGGCATATTCTATGGATATCAACCGCACATTTGTACCTCAAGAGTATGTGAAGATCACGAGAGACATGGGGTTGGATCTACAGAGAATACTCAAGTGGCCTTGGACATCCCTCATCTAGCGCTGGATTCATTGTTTATAGAGGCATATACTGACGGAGGATTGCCTGATCATTTAGTACTCTCCCTTCGACTACATGAATGAGTACTGGGAGTGAAAAGCCAGGACGTACGTCCTCCACCCTAAAGGACTCTGCCATCTATAGCCCTGAGGTACCTACCTACCTACCAGGTACTAATCGCACACGTCGTTGAAGTACAGCGTAACTATGATGCAATATGATTGGTTGTGCCAGCCTGACTAGCCCCTCTCTGAAAGCGGTAAGTATGATGCCTGAGGTGTCGATTTTGCCAACCTTCCGTCCATTCTTCTCCGCAGTTCGCACTGGATTTCCAATCCATTGACTGTCTATTACCACCTCATTCAGCGTCGCTTTCGTCGGGCATTGATGCCTCTCCCCTTCTTTTGATACCACTCTCTACTCCACTTCTCAATTGATATCCCTCCCTCTAATTCCCGTCATGTTCCGCTCCGCAGCTCGGGTCGTCCTCCGCGCGCCCGCTGTCCCAGTCCGTGGCCCGGCCAGCAGACGATTGATAAGCACTTCTCCCGTTGACAAGAAGTCGAGAAGCTGGAAGGGAGGCATCGTGCGTCTGGGTCTGGCTGCTGGCGCAATCTACTACTACAACACCAGCCCTGTTTTCGCGCAAGACCCGAAATGTACGTATTGTCCGCTGTTCCGACATTTTCCTCCCGAAGCTTGGTCATCGTTCCGAGATCAGAGCTATGTCGTCACCCTGGAGAAAGAAGACTAGACACCGAGAAGCGAATGAAGTTGACTGACAACCTGCATTTAGTCTCCTTCCGCTCCCAACCGCAGCCTGATGCTGTCGCCGAAGAATCTCTCCCGACCCTCGACTCCGTGAAGCCTAAGATCCGTGAGCAGAAGGCTCCCACTGCCACTCCCACCCCCAACCCCACCCCCAGTATCACGCCTGCTGCGCCTCAGCCACCTTCCGAACCCACTCAGATCGACCCTGCGGAACTTGAGGAACAAGCCGGCCACGAAGCTGCTTTCAATGAGGAGACTGGCGAGATCAACTGGGACTGCCCTTGCCTCGGCGGCATGGCCCACGGACCTTGCGGAGAGGACTTCAAGGCCGCTTTTAGCTGCTTTGTCTTCTCCACTGAGGAGCCTAAGGGCATTGACTGCATTGACAAGTTCCAGTACGGAAACCTTCCGCCTGTCGGGTCCTAGAGCGCCGCTAACAGTAACCCCCCTTAGGGCTATGCAAAACTGCTTCAGACAATATCCTGAGGTCTACGGTGCCGAGCTGGAAGACGACGAGGCCCCCGCTGAGGGTCAGGTTGCCCCCGCCGCTCCTGGCGATGAGCAGCCCGTGAGCGCTGCTCAGATTGATGCTTCCTCCACCCCCGATGAGAAGCACGCCCGCGCACACAAGGTCAACGCTGAGACCAAGTCGCAGCTTGCGGAGAAGGGTGAGCTCCCCGAGAGCAACGAGCTGATTCCCAAGTCGTGGCACGACACGGAGGCCAAGAACGAGGCCCCCGAGCAGACCAAGAACTAAGCAGCTGTGTCAACGAGTCTGTTATCATACGAGATCACGAACTGAAGTTGTAGGAGTGACAAAGGCTGGGTGTGGATTGAACCGAAACCACGGAGGAGATTCATGCGGTAAGCGGGATCGCGCCGTGTGTATCAGTATATGAATGAGTTTCTATATCTTATACCCCCACCCTCGCCTCGTTGTTTCTCGTCCTCTTCTTGCGTGCGTCGGCCTTGTCAGCCAGCCACTCAAGCCAATCCGTGTATTCGTGGTTGCTGTTGGGAATGGACGTTGCAATTTCTTTGGTCATTGGTCTTTATGAACCCGCATCACGGACCATCTCCTTCTCTCCCTATATCTCCTATTTACTGTTCAGTTCCTGTATCTAAAATCACTGTACTTGTATGTTTTCTTGTGTTATGGTCATTTAGCAAGTCCGGAAGAGAGAGACGACATGGAATAGAGATAGATCAGTGATTTGTGATTATGTGATCTGGCAAAATTGGTGCTCTCTGTGTTCTATTGTATACGTAGGCATTAATAGAAGGGTGCGGCTAGAGGTTGTCACACCCAACTTCGAGACTTTGGTGCCTTTGGATGCTTGATCCTCTATTCTCCTTCTGGCTGATCACTGCAGCACTAGAGTTGTCCATTCTCCTCAAGCAGAATTCAATCTCAAACTGAAACTACCCCTAACTACATTTCAGTCCCCAAGCCGGTGAAGGTACCGCACTACACTCCAACGGGGCACTGCTGGCACCTGCGGCATCAACTCCATCATCCCCGAAGTGGACTAGCGCGTTCCCGTCGCGTCTTCCCCCCCCCACGCGTCTTGCAGTATTAACTGAGTGTAGAGAGATCATTCCCCATTAGAACCCCAAACCACTTTGGCGACACCCACACCCACGCTCCTCATTGAATCAGATGGAGATAGCATAGCGGCGGCAGGCATCTCAAGTCCAAGTCCCACCACCGCAGTCTCTCCGACACGCATCTTTTTCCTCTTTTCTACAACAACCCTACCCAAAAATTTAGATGCCGACAACTTCTTCGTCCCCCTCAATCCCCCCCTCCTTCGACCCAACCATCCACCTCGACACCGACCCAGCCCTCCTCGACTTCGACCAACCCGACCAACACCCCCTCGCAACCGCAAACCCCCAGTCGGAGTCGCAATCCTTCTCCGACGACCTCGAGGCCCTAGACCTCCAGCGACAGGAGCGCGCGCGCAACCGGACCGTGATCCAGCATCGCGCGTGGAATCTCTCGGATGTGTTCTGCAGTGACGAAGATCTAAGACCTGGTACATTTTTTCCCCTATCATTTCTTTTGAGTCTTTGAGGCGGGACGGGGCGTTCGATACCTATCAGGGGGAGAAAGCAAAAACAGCCGGGATTGATTATTTAATGAGAGGTTACGAGCTTTTTTTGTGCCGTGAATAGACAATACCCCTACGAAAAAGCATAGAAAGCATCGACTCGATTCGCCGGTCCGTGAGTTGGCTTGGTTGCCGTCGTCGTCGCCGCCGGGTGTTTTGAGGATGCCGTTTATTTCGTCGCCTGCGGCTGCGGCTGCTCCTGCTGCGGCTGCTCCTGCTGCTGGTGGTGGTGGTGCGGGGGAGGTAGGGGTGTCGGAGACGCATAAGCGGAAGATTGAGGAAAGGGGGAATTCTGCTGCTGCGGAGGTGGTTAAGAGGCCGAGGATGATGGGTGGGTTTTTGGACGATGAGGATGAGGATGATGATGAGGATGGGATGGAGGCCTTGCGGGATATGCAGCAGATGGATGCTGGTGGAGGTGGGGTGGATGAGTGGGTTGCTCTGCCTGGGTCGGCGTCGTTGTCGAAGCGTCCGGAGCGATCGATGCAGTCGGTTACGGCTGCGGAGCCTAAGAAGCCGAAGGTCATGGGTGGGTTTCTGGATGATGACGACGATGACAACAACGACGAGGATGAGTTGGAGGCGCTGCATGATGCGCAATTCAAGAGTCAGTTCATGATGCAGGAGCAACTCATTGAGCAGCCACTCGTCGACCTGCCTGCCATTCCGAGGCCGTCGCAGATCCCCCCGCCGCCGCTGCAGGAGCCGAGCAGCTCGATGCCCACGACCATGTCGCTACCCTCGCGCAGACCGACGAGGTCGATCCAGATCAAGACCTGCTCGGGCAAGACGCATCATGTTGCTCTGAAGAAGCCGGCGAGTAGGGTGTCGTACGAAAGACTCGTGGCCGGTCGTTCGACTCCGGCCCCTGGTCGAGCTCAGAAAGCTTACTATGGTATTGAGATTCATCGGCTCTTGGACGAAGCTGCGAAGGAGGAGGAAGATTGTGCTTCGAAGGTGGCGAGACCACGCCCCTCCCATACGATCCAACCGTCAATCGAGCCCGCGCTGGACGCTGGCCACAACAGCAAGGCCAGTAAGCACGCTAAGGCGATGTGGACGGAGAAGTACCGCGCACGCAAGTTCACGGAGCTGATTGGCGATGAGCGCACCCATCGACACGTCTTGCGGTGGCTGAAAGGGTGGGAGCCGATTGTCTTCCCCAACCTGGGCCGGTCGAAGGCGAAGAAACCCATGCGGAAGGACAACAACGAGGATGAGGAGCCGGCTCACCGCAAGGTCTTGCTTCTGTGCGGCCCCCCGGGACTGGGGAAGACCACCCTTGCGCATGTCTGCGCTCGACAGGCGGGCTACGAGGTCCTCGAGATCAATGCTAGTGACGACCGGAGTCGAGATGTTGTCAAGGGTCGAATCCGGGACTCCCTTGGAACGGAGAACGTCAAAGGAATGAATGTGGAGGTCGGGGAGGACAAAGTGCGCAAGGCGGGACGGCCGGTGTGCGTGGTTGTAGATGAAGTGGACGGGGTCGTGAGCGGATCTGGGGGCAGCGGTGAAGGTGGCTTCATGAAGGCCTTGATCGATCTGGTGATGCTGGATCAAAAGAATTCGGCACGGAAGGCTGAGAAGACGTCGACCACTGGCAAGAAGAAGAAGGGCGACAACTTCCGCTTTCTGCGGCCTCTCATTCTGGTCTGCAATGATGTCTATCACCCCAGTCTCCGGCCGCTGCGGACTGCTGCTATCGCTGAAATCATCCATGTGCGCCAAGCGCCAATCGAGAACGTTGTTGCGCGGATGAAGCGAGTGTTCTCCATTGAAGGCATACCAGCAGATAACGACGGGGTCCGGCGTCTCTGTGAGGCGTCCTGGGGCATTGCCCGGAGGAAGCAGATGGGCGTCAAAAGCAGCGGAACGGCTGAAGGCGACATTCGCAGTGTGCTTGTTGCAGCCGAGTGGGTGGCGCACAAGCTGCGCAGCGAGTGTCCATCCACGCTGAGGCTGACGCGCAGCTGGCTGGAGCAGAAAGTCCTCAGCGACAAGACCGGTGGCGGGACGTTCTTTAAGGGCCTGAACCGCGGTGGTGTCCGAGACCTCGTGGACCGCGTCTTCACCGAAGGCGCTGGGTTCGCCGACGCCCCCGTGGGCGCTGATTCCTTCCGGGACCCCTACGACGACTCGGCCCGAGTCCCCGTCGGCGTGGCAGACCTGCGCAAGCGCCATGCCATCAACCGCCTGCGCGAGATGGTCGACGCCAGCGGCGAGCACGACCGCTGCGTGTCCGAGTGCTTCTCCTCGTACCCCTTGCAGACCTACCAAGACGACACTTTCCTCTCCAAACCCAACACGGCCTACGAATGGCTGCACTTCCACGACACCATCTCCTCCAAGATCTTCTCCCACCAGGACTGGGAACTGAGCGCCTACCTCAGCCAGCCTGTCCTCGCCTTCCATCACCTCTTCGCCTCGACCTCCGGCAAAGCCAAAGCACCAACAACAACAACAACCTCCTCCGCGGACGCCGACAAAGACGCCGCGGAGGAAGAGCACCCATTCTCCGGGCCCCGCGCCGACTTCGCCGCCTACGAGGCCCAGAAGCAGAACCGCGCCCTGCTGACGGAGTTCCAGTCCTCCTTCTCGGCACCGTTGAGTCGACTCTTCCGATCCACGGAGTCGTTAGTGCTCGACCTCGTCCCCAACCTCGTCAAGATGCTCTCGCCGGACGTGAAACCGGTCGTCGTCCGCGGCAGCGGCGAGCAGCGGAGCGTGGCCAGCGTGCGCAAGGAGAGCGAGCGCGCGCTCGTCCAGGCCGCCGTGCGCGTCATGTCCGGTCTCGGCGTGCGGTTCGAGAAGGTCCGCGTCGAGGGCGCCAGCGGTGCGCACAGTGGATGGGCCTATCGAATGGAACCGTACGTTGACCCTTCCTTTGCCCCTTTATCCCCGCCAGACGCCCCCAACGATCCCATCAAGTTCGATAACCCAACTAACCTGCGAAAAAAACAGACCCCTCGACACCCTCATCACCTTCTCCCAAACCAAAACCAACACATCCACCACCACCACCGCCTCCGCCCCCGTCCGCTACGCCGTCCGCCAAGTCCTCGACCAGGAATACCGCAAAGAAACCACCCTGAAGAAATCAACCGATGGCGGCCTCAAACTCACCAACCCCAAATCCAGTGCCAACAATGGTACCCAGAAACCCAACCCCGACACAACCAAGAAACCCGGCGCCGCAGCAGACGGCGTCGCAGTGAAACGCGATTTCTTTGGACGGATCATCCAGGAGCCGCCGGTGTCGGCGGCAGAGGGGGCCGAGAATGACGACGCTCATCAGAAGAATGCGGCGGCGCAGACGGAAATGTCCAAGAGCGGGAGAAGGGTGTGGGTGACGTACCATGATGGGTTTTCGAACGCGGTGCGTAAGCCCATTTCTTTGGCGGAGTTGTTGGGTGATTTGTAGATTCGCTTTCTGGTTTTGGGGAGCAATGATTGAATGAGGTTTGTGGTTCATGTATATGGTATTGCTAGGTTAGGGCTGGTGTTTAGTTTGTATGGGTTATGGTACGGTAAGGGATCTGGGGCGGGCGGGGGCTTTCATTGAACGAGTTTATACTTAGGTGCGAAGGTACTGTTCTACTTGTTCTGCCTTCGTGTCAATCTATTGGGAACTTGACCACAGAGTACGGTTAGGTGAAGGTCTGCTGCTCCTATTGGTATATACTTCCTCCGATCCACCCATCTCATCTAAAACCTCTCATCAAGAAACCAATAAAGAAAAGGATTCATAAACAAATGCCGACCCCGAACATATCTCATGGGTGGGGGGATAAAAACAAACAGAAATAATTCAAGCCATCACAAAAAGGACACCATGCAATAATGAAAACACACACAAAGAAAAAGCTAAGCCTGATTCTTCAGCTTCTCCGTCAACTCGGGCACCTTCTCAAACAGATCCCCGACCAACCCGACATCGGCGACCTGGAAGATCGGCGCGTCGGCGTCCTTGTTGATGGCGGCGATGACCTTGCTGTCCTTCATGCCGGCCAGGTGCTGGATGGCGCCCGAGATGCCCGCGCACAGGTACAGCTGCGGGGCGACGTTCTTGCCCGTCTGGCCGACCTGCAGGCTGTTGTCGGCGAAGCCGCTGTCGACGGCGGCGCGCGAGGCGCCGATGGCGGCGCCCAGGGTGTCGGCCAGGGGCACGATGACGCGGTCGAATTCCTCCTTGGACTTCAGGCCGCGGCCGCCGGAAACGACGCGCTGCGCCGTCGCCAGGTCCGGCCGCTCGGACTTGGCCAGCTCCTCCGACACCCACTCCGTCTGCAGGGGGGCCTTGGGGTCGCTGCCGGCCTCGATGGCGGCGGCGCCGCCGCTCGTCTCGACGCCCTGGAACGAGGTGCCGCGCACGGTGAGGATCTTGATCGGGTCGGTCGATTGCACGGTTAGGATGGCGTTGCCGGCGTAGATGGGGCGGACGAAGGCTATTTTGGGGGGATGATTAGTTCTTGGACGTGGGAGGATGAGGTGAGGTGAGGTGCTTCGGGGTTTGTGGTGGTGGGTTGGGAGCTTTTTTTTTCTAAGTTGTGACTCCGACACCGGAGATAGGATGAAGGGAAAGTTCAGAACACAAGCAAGAGAAGACGTACTATCCTCGCTCTCGATGCCAGTGATATCGGAGACCTGCTGCACATCCAACAGAGCTGCCACGCGGGGCAGGAGACTCTTGCCGAAGGCCGAGTGGCCGGCAACCACGTGCGTGTATTCGCCTTTCTGGATGTTCTCGACGAGCAGAGGGGCGTAGTTCTCGGGGAGGCCCTGTTTTGTGACAAGATTAAATTAGCATGTGATCAGGTAAAAGTATCGGTGCTGTCTTGGAATATGGGATTGGAAGTATATTTCATAGCGGAAGCTGAGCTGGAGATTGAGCTGGGGGGGGCGGGCATACCTTCTCGTAGGCCTCATTCTCCACCGCAACGACCTTGTCCAAACCCTTGATCTGGGCCGCCTCGGCCGCGGAGGTCGCCTTCACATTGGCCCCGGCCACGAAGGCAGTGATAGGGCCCCCGAGCTTCTGGGCCGCGGCGATGGCGGACAGGGAGGAGGGCTGGATCTTGCCGTCACGCTGTTCGAGCACGGCGAGGGTGGAGAGCAGGCGGGCGAAAGCGGCGGAGGAGATGGCGGTGGTGGTGCGCGTGGAGGGGAGGATCTGGGCGCGGGCAGCGCGCAGCACCGAGTTTCTTGCGAGAGGAAGCATCTTGAGGTAGGCGAAATTGATTGAGTGGGTGGGGAGGTTAGGGAGGGGAGAGCTTGGAGAGGAGAGAGGAAGAGGAAGAGGAAGAGGAAGAGGAAGAGAGAGGGGAAAGAAAGGTGGGGAATGGATGGGTGGAAGTCTTTCAGGTGAAATTGAAGGTTATCGTCGGATTGAATGGCTTGACCGCCCGCTCGGCCAGTCAGTCACAATCGCCGATCCCGCCGGCGGCCAAATCACCCGACGGACGGCTGGTTCGGTTACTCCAGCTTTGGCTGTGCCAGGCAGAATATCCTCGGTACAATGTCAATCATATGTCATAATTCAGTTGACTCCGTAAGATGTACAGAACTTTTGCTGTTTATTCTTTTTTATTCGTCCAAGGGGTATTGAGGTACACGCCCTGATATGATAGAAAAAGAAAAATAAAACTCTAAATCTAGAGATGGAGGAAGATTGGAGACAAAGCGAAACAGAAAAACAGCGCCGGTAGACAAGAACAACCCATTGCTTATTCAGATACAAATCCGTGGAAATCAAAACAACACCGGAGGTATAGACTTGATTGAGTGAGAGTTCGAAGCGTAGGACAATTATGAAGTCGACTTTCTCTTCTTCTTACCAGCGCCAGCCTCGGCTTTCGTAGGCGCCGCGCCATCTTCCAGCGCCTTAGCCTTCTGCTTCTGGAGCTTCTCTTTCCTCGCCGCCAGCGTCACGGCATCCTCGTCGTCCTCGGCGGCCTTGGCCTTCTTGGCCTTCTTGGGGGCCTCGATCTGCTGCTGCTTCTCCTCATCGCCCGCGCTGATCTGCTTGCGCTTCTTGCCGCCGGCAACGGCCTTGGCCGCCTCCTCGGTACCCTCCTCGACCACGTCATCGTCCTCAAGCCACAGCTCGCTGGCCAGCCAGATGGGCATGGCCATGGTGTTAGCGCCCTTGATGTGGATCGCCTTGAGGTTGCGCCATCCCTTCGTCACGTACTTCTCCGTCAGGCCCGTGACGACCGCGTCGATGTTCTCGGCGAGCTGCTCGGCGGTGAAGTTGGACGCACCGACGCGGATGGCGGCCGTGGTCGCCGGGGCGAGCTGCACGGGGGCGCAGTGCAGCGCGCGCTCGATCTCCCGGGCGACGATCTCGGGGGCGGCGAAGGCGCTGCCTTCGTCCTTGCTCTTCTTCGCCTTGGCGTCCTTCTTGACCCGCTTGCCGTCGACCTTCTCGATCGCGGCGATGCGGACGGGGATGGGCCGCTTGCTGGACTTGTAGAAGGTCTTGCCGAGGGTCTGGACCAGGCGCATGATGATGCGGTCGTCGGCCAGGAAGACGTCGTGCTCCGCGAGCAGCTGGCGGCATTTCTCAAAGCTGTCGTAGCGGGCCTTCAGCTTGTTGTATCCGATGACCTTGTCGATGCTGTTGGTCAGGTGCGCGGGGAAGGACGGGTCGGCGACGATGTTCTTGACCGCGCGCTGCGGGTCCGCGGTGATCAGGCAGACGCTGAGCGAGGACTTGGTGTTGAGCGAGTGGGGGATCGGGATCTTGCCGGGCTTCAGGCGGTTCTTGTCGACCACGTGCTTCTTGGTCGTGAGGACGAGCCACACGGCCTCGTTCTTGACCGTCTGCTCGCCATCGGAGTCCTCGTCGTTGTCGCCGATCAGCGTCTTCTTGGTCGCATTCTTCTCCCTCTCCGCCTGCGTCGTCTTGATGTGGCGCAGGAGTGCTTCGGATGCTCGCGAGACCTGTTACGAATGCTCATCGTTAGCGGGTTGTTGAAGTTTTCCTCCACTGTATGTGAGATTTCTCGACAACGCATGATCTGTGTTACGTACCTGGCTCTTGTCGAGCTGGTAGGGAGTGCCAGAGGTCGCCTTAGTCGTCAAAGCCGTGGAAGACCCCATTTTTGCGGTGATGATATGGAAAATGTTGCAAGAATCTGATAGGGCTCGACTTCCGCGATAGTCTAATGATAAAAAAAAATTCATGGGAAGGCGGTAGCCACTTTATTGCCGGTCTTGGCGGTGGGCGAGCACGCTTAGTCAGGCATCGTTGCTCCCCGGGTCATGTGATCTTGCATATGCTCGTGGAAATCACATGAGCAGTGGTTTGTCTTTTCTCGTCTGAAACTCCAGGCGCGATTACAATGGCATGTCAGAAATCTTGTCAAAAAGCAAGTGAGTCACATGTGAGCAGTGCGACGACGCGAGTGCTGGCTATCTCCGGATGCTTTGCGCCCCCCCCAACCGTCCGTGACACAGTGGGATGATGAAGAGACGGTCTGTAAGATGAGCTGGGCGACCCAGTCCAGTCATTTATGATTGTCTACATGGGGTCGAGTTGATGGCTTACGCAGGGGCGTGGCTCTGAGCTATTGGGTCTTTCGACTCCAAGTCAATGCCCACTTGCCTTGTTCAAGGCCACGAGGTGACGAGGAGTCCCAATCCCCGAAGACCACGCAGGCCTTGGGTGATGGAAACGTGATGCTTCACGGGCTTCTCTTCACGATGTGCGGCCAGTCCCTTGCATGTTTCATCCTAGGAGTATTGTCAAGGGTTTCCGGATATGCGCGTCCTCCACCCGCGCACCAGCCAGGGATGGATAATCGCTGTTGTTCATTAGAAACTGCGCACAAGACAAGCAATTAGCTGTGGGACTACTGAGTCTCGGGGACTGAAAGACTATCCAGAGCCAAGATGATGCTTCGGTAATTAAAATCTTGGAAACGGTTTCTCAAGAAGGTCTCGAATAGATACTCGACTGGTTTCACCATCACCATAAACTGAATTGGTCAGAGCCAGCGATTTTGCATCGCACACGACCGTAACGAAGGATGCCCGGTCAGCGAAAGAGACAACTGTAAAGGCAGGTCAGTTAGCGGTGAGGGAAAGACAACCGGGACGAATGATGCCACATGCTGGATATTGGTTTAATAAACGACGAATAGGCCCAGACAGTCTTCAGCAATCGAATACTATGAGCAAATAGTCAGTATAGTGGTAGGTAAGTCAACCCATGCGCATTGACCATGTGGATTATTGCAGCGAGAGGGAAACAGGGACTGGTCTCGGAGTATTTCTTCAACCTGCAGAGAGTTCTTGTTCACGCAAGAAGAAGAAGAAAAAAAAGGAGGCATAACATTCCGCTTGGCAATGGACCAGAACCGAGCACAAGCCACATGACCGACCGACCCTCTTTTCGAATATGTCTGGCCATTGATTCGGTTGGTGTAGCTGATAGTGACCTATAAGTTAATATCCTAGTGGTTAGGGAATTGAATGTCCATTTCCCGTCCTCTACTCCGTATTTGATCCGATTACTAACTACGGAGACTACAACTATCTTGGCTACGCACTGGCAGGCTACGGTCGTAACAATGGGATAGCGTTGCTTGACAGTGCTCATCGTTCGTCCGGTTGGTCGCCCGCCCAATTCTCCGGATGGGGCCAACGCAAAATGCGTTAATATAGAGCAGTCGACTTGTCGCCGGCACATGAGACAGTTGGTGGAACAACAGAGAGAAGCTTGTGAGGTAGATAGGAGAGGGTTCGGTGATTCAGGCACAGATAGACGATGATAGGACCAAACCGATGTCATCGGTGCCTGAAACAATAATGCGTGATGCTACCGCGGATTAAGATTTTCCCTTCGGGTCTCGGGTGCCGCTCCAACAAACTATGACCGTCTGTTTACATCCATCCTCAAAGCAACCTGATTCGAATGATAGGTGAGTTTGAGCTTAAACTTCAATGCTTCAATGCTAGTGCTCCCTTCGAATACTTCGATAGGCTGAGAGCATGGGCAGTCATCTCCCGTACCACACACCGATGGTCAAGTCCACGTCAATAGCTGAGTTGTTCGGGGGGGTTTAGCTTACTTTCCGAGGTCTAATAGTCTGTCTGCCTTGGACAGGAGGGCAACGGCGACTAGTTAGTTATGGGGGTAGATTATTGAATCAACAATGAGTTCAACAGGCCTTTAGTCTAGTAGTAAAGTAGCAACTAGCTCAGACATGGCACGAGAGACCGAGCATGCGTGGAAATAAATCCCACGCCTGTGCCCCTCACAATATACCGGGTTAGGCGTAGTGTGACCCCATCCTTCAACTTAGGTTTGTTTTAGCGCTCCCTGCAGCCCGGTTAGTGCGTTGGTTTGAAAGTAAGGTACGGTTGCTGTATCTGGGAGATTGGTCCCCGCCGGTGGAAAATCAAGCTAACCAAGTCTCGGTTGGATGCTTTTCTTTCAGTCTTCCCCCCCCTCGTCTCCACTCACCTCGGGGTTTTTATCTCCCCCCCCTATACCTTAGTAGCCTTCTGGCCCTGCTCTCTGACCAAAGACAATTTGGTAGACTGTTCATCATCTAACACGAACTCAACTGCCAACACCCTCTCTCCACCCAAATTATTGACTTTATCGGCTCCAACCCTCCGTAAATTGAGCGGAGAACGGGCAGGCCGAGGAGAATATGGGGAATAAGCAACCACGCGGTCAACCTCTGCAGACTGCTTGGCATCAGACAACCCACGTCAAATTCCCGGTGAAGCCACGCAAGCCTGTAGGTTGCTATCAGCGAGTGCCCCTGGGGAGACAGAACTCCGTGGTAACCGGCACATTATACTCCCTGTGTAGCCCCTAACGAGTCAGCCTGGATGTAGTCTCCGGTTGCCAAGCTTTAGGCTAAGGCGCGATGCGAGAGTCCTCTTCCTGGCAGGAATCTGTAGGACACGGGGACGATGTTGTCGACGAAGGGGGGAAAAGATTGTGTCAAAAGTCATCCTCCTTTAACATACGGCGAACTGTAACTATTATGCTATGTTGGTTGTGTTTGATGAACGTGTTCAGGGTCCAGGTAGATATTGTGCAACTCCCCAGCGATCTCGTCAGCTTGGACCCCTAATGCGTGGTAGCCGGGGAGTTGTTGTGTTGTGAGGACGGCTTTGGGGGCAAAGGGGCTGAAAAAGAGGCTGCCCTGGTCGTGTTGTTAAACTCAAACAGCGGGCCAGGTTTGATAGGCGAGTCGCATCGTGCTTTGCTGGCTCGGGAGCTTGCGCATTTTCCTGGATATGAAATCTGCCTTGTTATGCAGGTACCGTGCAGGGATGAGCCATCCGTAAGATGTATGCAGATAGCAGTGATGTACAGCATTGGGACAGCTGGTATGGCTTAAGCAGTGACTTCTCATTTGCTCAGCATAGAGACTCTTACAATGCTTGTATCTTTCGTGTGCTGGTGTCTTCAAGACCCGCCCTTGTCGAGCGGAAGAGCTTGCCACGGAGATATATCTTCTGATAAGCTTCTATTCTGTGGACGAGAAAAAGCTTTTAATTTAGCCAAGCAATCTGTCACTGTTGAAAACATGCTTGGTACATTTGCAAGCAGTCGAGTCTGTAATGAAGATCAAAATAAGCATGGGTCTGATGTTGTTGTCCGTCTTTCTGTGGTCAGAAGCCTGAACAAGAAATGGCAGCCTTTGTATTACCGGGCTACCCCGCACTTGTAATGAGCATCTCGATCCAATATCAGTCGACAACAGTGAAGAAGATCCCAACAGCCAGATGAGATAAAAATGTCACACTTACTGGCACTCTTTTCTTGTAAGCTTATTATGATGATCAAGATCGGCAAATTAGGTTATTGCCTGGTGGACCAACATTCAGTATCACCGGTCGGGTTTGGCTCAGATGGCCACCTACTGCTCTAAGCGCATCAGAGGCTGTTACAGAATCTAGAATCCCATGACAAGGAATGCGTATCTGAATGATGAGTATAGGAAATGGCTTGCTATAATTGCGCCTGGCAACTGCACGTCTATCGATCACGGTAGACTGTAAAGGCGCATGGAATGTAGTTCTAGCGTCACGGTTGTCTCCAGAGCAGCCGATGGATCTCCCATTACCTAGCAAATGTAGGCCAGCAGCCTCTCAGGCTACATATGCATCAAGGGAGATCTGACATCGTCGCTTATCATTGTTGTGCCAGACCTGAGGCGCAGACCAGGCGCCCAGATGACAGGTAGTAGCCTCAAGCTATATTTATTTAGAGTAGCAATGGACCTGCATTTGAATCCGGCAGTATAACCAGGCAAGCACCCGAAACTGTGATCGAGATACTGCCTACGCCAACAGACTTGCAATCATCTCATAAGTACGGAGAGAGAGCAATCCGTCTCCCTTACCGAGTCGCATGAAGCTGCCCCTGAATATACCTACTCGTCATCATCGAGGACATCAACAATGTCTTAGAGCAATGCCGTGAAGTATAATTGATATCTACTATAGATGGGGAATTATACTTATTTTCAGCCACCTGGTGTTGTTGACGATCTTAACGTATGACATGTAAAGTGCCTCGGATCGGTCGCCAGGGATCCTGATCATCTCACTTGCAGGGTGTTTAACAACGGCTGCAGGGGTTCCGCAGATAGGCTGGAGGCTATAATACCGAGCATAAGGGCTTGAGGGTCGGCTTGCGAAAGGGTTAAAAATATCAGAGGGCCCCTATTCGGCCAGACTCGCGCACTGTGCAGATCCATCCAGTAGGTGGTTTAAACTTGCTTGGCTCTAAAAGAGTTGAGAGTACGAAGGTGGTCATGGGTAATGGCGTTACAGAACAAATACTGAAGGTTGGGGTTTGCCGAAGGCTGAAACAGTTGAAGATCCAGAATACTGGAGAGGGGTTACATCACTACCCGAAGCGCTTTGCGCCTGCCAACTATGAGAAGGGATCGATGAGATGGACCCTGGCTAGTACAGTACAATGAACAACAGGCAGTGCAACTGTTTGTTGATGTTGATTTTGTTGTTGTCCTGGATGTCTGACTTGCTGAATAACACTTTCTTGATCTTCGCTTTCAGTTTTCCTGCCGCCAGGCCGACTGCGCCCACTAATGCAGGCCAACATGAAGATCGGACATGAGACATTGCCATGGTAGGCCGATTTGTGGCAATGGTTCGGCAGCGCCTCAGCCGGTGATTGGTGTGCCTGAATGGGGACAAAGTCTGATTTCCACCGGCTGAGGGCCGAATCTCACCCTCAATTGGCTGGGAGGTTTAATTAATTTCGGTAACCGCCAAGCAAAAGCGTGTCAGGAACAGGAAAGCTCCAAACATGCTGCTGGCGGTGGAAGAAAAATAGGCAAGGATTTAATGCCCGGCCTGCGAATCCTCCCCAAGTTCGGTTACTCAACACTGTTGGATTTGTTCCAGACAGTCACCCCGAGTCTTGGCTCTCTCTCTTCAAAGGTAGAGAAACAGAAGAGAAACACATTGGCTGGGCTGTGAGTGTTATTCTAGTATGGAACCTGGCCCCTCTCCCCAAATCCCCACTTCCTGGCTTCACGTTGCCTTGTGGGTGGTCTTTCTTTGAGCGAGCTGATCCTGGTGGACTTGGCTTGGGGGGAGGGGGAAGGAGAGTTTTCTATTAACCGCCCCCTATTTGTTGTCTGAAGGCAATTCAAGTTGTAGAATGTCAAATTCTTGTGGGATCTTTGGGGGTCTCCGGTCTCCTGTCATCAGGGGGAAGGCACATACCGGAATGTGCCTTATACATTCTTGAGATCTCTGTCCACCTTATCTAAACGACTTTTTGTATCAAGATGAAGTAACTTATAGGGACTGTACCTCTGATCATACTAATTAACATGATAGCCAGAGATCACAATCAAATTGAATACAGTCCAAATACTGGAAATGTAATATCCGAGTACTGAATCATGACCGGACACTAACCATGTGGGCCCCCCTAATATTAATATTATTTTTCTTTTTTATCCCCCCCATTATTATTATCACCAACGATGGCCGACTGACTAGTGTAATGTTATTGCCTTTCTTTTGGTCTGTCCACTCTCTTCTCCACGGCCAAAGTGCCACACACCACTACACTCTCTTGCATTTAGTTTAACCCCTGGAAGAAAAAAAAAGGCCTGCGCGCACGCTTTAGTGTCTTGTTATCCCCCTCCTTTCCTTTTTCCATTCTCACCCCCTAGTCCAACTGGATCGATCTAACCGCTTACCTACTCTCTCTACCGTACTTTCACCTGCCCTTCATCTCCCCTTCCGGTTCCCTTTTCTCTCCTCTTCCTCCCTCTTCGCGACCCTCCTCAATTTCTTCGCCTTCCCTGAGCGTTTCATTTTCCCCTCCGGCTTTCGCCTGTTACCCACGCGAGAACTTCCTGTCCGACCAGAGGGACTAGCTTCTCTCTCGCACGCTCTTTTCGGGAACCTCCTTTTCTTCTCACTTTCCACTCCTTGACCCTCTCATATTCAATCGCTGCACCTTCAATTCGTGTACAGATTTGTTGCTTTCTGTCAAGAGCGCGCGACTGGTTTGCCGTGACGTTGCGGTAGGTTACCACTGTTCATTGTTATACTTCACTCCCTCCCCCATGACCCGCATGTTCATGAGTGAGTGCTCGCGCGACGTGGGCTGAAGCCGCATGGAACTCCACTTAATGAGTCGCATCGCGGGTCTTCATGATCCCTAATATGCCTGGTGAAAGGCGGAGATCAAGGCGATCCCCATGCCTGGCCCAGGAAATTGGCTGAACGTGACCATCGATGATCGTTTGACCAACATACTAATGTGATATTCTTTGTTGGTACATACAGAGTTCATCGATTTTTGAACACGATACCCCGCTGTGCACTTGTGCAACACACAAAACTACAACAATGAAGTTGAACGCCGTTGCTGTTAGCTTGGCCACGGCCTCCTTGGTGGCTGCTCAGCACCACCACCAGCACCGCCACCATCATAAGCGCAACCCTGAGTCCGAGGTTGTCACCGTTGCTGGTCCTACTGTGGTCACTTATGTTCTCGACGGCAAGACTATCACTCTCGAGGAAGTCTGCAAGGGTATCGCCGACAAGACCTTGACCTGGGCCTCTGGTCAGGAAGTTCCTGATGTTTGCAACGGCGCTAGCAGCTCTTCGACTACCGCTGCCTCGACTTCCACTTCCACCACCGCGGCTCCTGCCCTCAGCTCCGTTGCCGAGTTCGTTGAAGTCGCTGTCGCTAAGGCCACTTCCTCCAGCAGCTCTTGGAGCTCCAGCAGCAGCGCTCACTCTTCCACCGCCGCTGCTTCCAGCTCCGCTTCTTCCAGCTCTGCCAGCAGTTCTAGCTCTTCCACTGCCACCGGCTTGGATGCGGACTTCCCCGATGGAGAATTGGACTGCGACACCTTCCCCTCCGACTACGGTGCTATCGCCCTCGATTACCTCGGACTTGGCGGCTGGTCCGGTATCCAGTACGTGACGATCTCCGGCAGCGTCGTGACCGAGATCACCACTGGTGTATCCGGTGATAGCTGCACCAACGGCGCCATGTGCTCTTACGCCTGCCCCGCGGGTTATCAGAAGTCCCAGTGGCCCAGCACCCAGGGATCTACCGGACAGTCCGTTGGTGGTATCCAGTGCAAGAACGGCAAGCTCTACCTTACCAACACTTCCTTGTCCAAGAAGCTTTGCATTGAGGGTACCGGCGGTGTCCACGTCCAGAACACGCTCGGCGAGAGTGTTGCTGTTTGCCGTACTGATTATCCTGGTAAGTGTCTTGCACCAGCCTAAAGTACCTGGACAGCTGCTTACAATTGATAGGTACCGAGTCCGAGACCATCCCTCTTCACCTTGGCGACAACACGCTCCAGCCCCTGACTTGCCCTGACGGCGAGACCTACTACAAGTGGGAGGGCAAGGTTACCTCTGCTCAGTACTACGTTAACCCCAAGGGTGTTTCCACCGAGAAGGGCTGCCAGTGGGGTAACGGCTCTGAGGCCATCGGCAACTGGGCCCCTATCAACCTTGGTGTTGGTGTCAACGACGGCAAGTGGCTGTCCATCTTCCAGAACAGCCCCACCACCACCGAGAAGCTTGACTACAATGTCAAGATCGAGGGTGACAACCTGAGCGGTTCTTGCAAGTATGAGGATGGTGTTTTCTATTCCGAGTCTGGCACCAACGACTCCGGCTGCACTGTGAGTGTTCCCCACCCCTTGCTTTGGTTCCTTTCCCCTTGGAAGTCCCTGGCCTGATTGTTAATTTTACCCGCAGGTCGAGGTCGTCTCCGGCTCCGCCACCTATGTCTTCTACTAAAGTAGATAATTCTCCGTGGGAGCCTCTGTCGTCAAGTGCCGGCTCCGGCTTTCCACGGCCTTTCCGTACCCCGACAAAGGCACAATTGCAAATAGAAGACCTTTTTTTCATGCCTCTGTTCCGCCCTTGATCATGATTCACCTTTCAGTGTGCTTGCTTTCTTCGTGTATCTTAGTATCTCATACTTATGTGACGTGGAAAAGCTTGCAACACCTGTCACATTTGTAACGTCACCCTTCCTTTGTTTGGGGGGCGGTTGTGGTTAGCTTTTTTACTTTTCTCGACGCTGAAGTAACACTGATTTTCCCATTTGATCACCGCGGAGTTTCTTCTCATCTTTCTGTGGAGGATGGGATGTAATTTAGCGATATCCTGTACAGTAGTGCCACTTCTTTTTCATGTTGTTCAGATCGAAATGACCCACTAATTCACTTTGATGATTTTCAAAGCTATGCAAGTGTTATTCCCGTTCTTTTCCTTTAGAAATTGCCCTTGAACATTGAACAAGATTTACCCGTGAGCAAGACGGCTCGAGGGGACTGGTCTACCCTTGCCACTTCGGCTACTGTTCACTGCATCCCCTACCGATTGCTTGAAGACTATGTGGATATCTCCCCGGGGCCTGGGGGACCGGGTATCGGCATGTATCGCTGCAGTGCCCACTCCATTCTGGGCCCCCATCCAGCAGCAGCAGCAGCATCCACCTCCCACCACGGACCTTGACGCCGACCACAAAGTTCCAGAAATTCGAAACTCTGATAAAAAAAACCTTGCTCGGTGGATCTTCGGCCGATTGAACAAAAGATAAATCCGACGCCATGAAAAGAAGACAAGAGCAATCAATGGTTGACAAAGGCCTGAAGGTTTTTTTTTTTCTGGTGTCTTCAAGTGGCCGATGGAGATTGGACAAATGAACGTCTTAACCTATGTGTACGTTAACTTACATTCCCCAGGCGGCATCTCCACCCGTGTCATGCACGGTCGACTGGATCTAGTCTTAAAATGTTCTGGAATGTGCATTGCATGAGCGGATCCCCTCCCCGATCTTGGGGAGGCTGGGTGTGTGCCACTGTGTGGTCTGTCGGTGTGGGCTATTCGTACGAGTACTTCTACCGGGGTCTTTTCTTTGCGTGTGTTTTGTGCTTTGTCTTATTCGGTTGGGTGGGTGTTTGTTTTTTTTGTAAGATTTGCTGGTTGAAGGGGCGAATTGTGCATTCGCTCCAAAGAGAGAGCAATCGTTTGGATGGCCGATTCTGGAAGTAGTGGGAGTTTACTAGGTGTTGAGGAGGTGATACTGGGCTAGTAGGCGCATACAGTGAGTGAGTGACTGTACTTTGCATGTGCATCTGCTCTCGGCCTGGTGGTGAGCTCGGGATACAGAGCTGGGGTGGACGGAGTGCAGTACTTCAATGCCGTTGAGCATCGGGCTGGAATTAAAGAGCGAAGGAGAGACTATGTCCTTTTCAGGTGCTTGTGGAAGGTTGGATGATGGTTGGTAAGAGGGAAGAGGGGGGCTGGGAAAAGTTCATATGGTTGGGGGCGAAGATACGTCGGCAGTGATTTTGTTCTTTTCGTCATTGAAATGTGAAGAGATGGAAGCACCATCATGCCTCACATCATCTTCAGTTTTCCTGAAGTTGGGACCGGAGGCTGGAGGGTGATCAGCGGAGGCGCAAGCAGGTTTTAGTACATGTCAGGGAGTTGTGCAAGACGTCAAGATTGGATCGGGTCAGGCATGCTCCAGCTTGGGCTTAAGGGTGCAGCGCTTGTGTTCAATGACTGTTGAGGTCATCAATAATTCAGTGACTTGACAGACAGCCCCCGGCCTTGGCATGACTAGTCCGGAGGCAGACTAGCGTGCCACCGACGAGGCAAGGCGTCACGCGTTCACGTGACACGTCATCACGTGACACGCGTTATCTGGTTCGAGTGAGCGACGCGCCTTGACTGCCTGGGGTGTCGAGGCTCCGAACTCAGGCCCATCCCTTGCCTTGAAACAAATCAACAACAATACGCAGAGTGTTCTGAATCTTAAGAGAGAGAGAGTGACAGACTAACTAAATGCAAGCCATTGCCAGTTCTGGGCCTGGCCACTCTTTCTCCCTGTTCTTTCCCCCATTTATAAATACCAACCATGCGCTGTCAGTGCAATTCGTTCGAGGCGGCTGCTGCTGCTGCTGCGCGAAGGTCGGTGGTGGAGCTCTGAGACTCTCGCCCGGCGCCTATCGAACGCGTCTCGGACTGTAAGCGTGCATTTCCGCGCTGGAAGGACGAGACGCTCCGTTCCGGGGCAGACATTCCACCACACACCACACACCACACATCCTTTCACCCTTTTCTTCAATGTTTCTCGTTTTTTCCCCTACGGTCGAAACATTTTGTGCTTTGTGCTCAACCCCCCCCTCCTCCCTCCTCCTCCTCCTCGAAGACTGACCCAACCTCCCTGGACCCTGTCATCTTGGGGCAGATGAATCCTCAGTGCTCCTTCCCTTCCTTTGCTCGTCCTTGACACGCTTCTGTCTCCGCGTCTAGTCAACTACTTTCCTTCTGGTCTGGTCTGCACGAAACCAAGTCGTCACCTCCCTCCCAATCGCTATCTTCCACTCCTATAGAACATAGAGACCCCCCCTCTCCTCTGCTCCTCCTCCTACTTGTCCTCGACGCGATCAGATAGGTCTCCAATTGATCTGTGGGATCTTTGACTCAATCCCTCTGCAGCTTCTCGAGTGACCATAATCTTAATTACTTTAGCTTCGTCCCAGACGTGTACGACGCGAAGGACAAGTCTGCCAACATGGAGTCCTCGCCGCCAAGGAGCAGTACAGCTGCTCCTGTGGCAGGTATCAAGCGTCCGGCGGCCCTATTGCCTGCTTTCGAGCCATTGAGCTCGTCCCCGTCCCTGCCCCGACCACAGAAGCGTGTAGCACGCGAAGACCATGGCATCGTTTCAACCTATCCCACTCCGGTCCCGACCTCGTCGACCCATATCATGTCCTCCTCCCCTCCCCGAATGGCTCTGCCGCGTCCGGCCTCTCGACGTACATTTACTTCGACCTCGGAACGGACCCCTCTGTCTACCGTCCCCGAATTGATGCTGCCTGAGAGTGGTGAGCCGGTCTTGATGGGGAGATCCAGTGCCTCGTGTCATCACCAACTTGCGGCCAACCGGATGATCTCAAGGGTCCATGTCAAAGCCCGATATAAGCCCGCCCCTAACCCATTCGACCGTGATACGGTGGAGATTATGTGCCTGGGTTGGAACGGAATCAAGCTACACTGCCAGGGGAAAACCTACGACTTGGGCAAGGGCAAGACTTTCACCTCGGATATCAAGGACGCTGACATCATGATCGACGTCCACGAGGCTCGCGTGCTCGTCCAGTGGCCTCGGAATGATAAGAAGGACTATACCTCCACAGATTCAGAACAGACCTGGGAAGAGGAAACTACGCCTAAACAACGCAAGGGGCAATCAATTCGGAGTATCCATGACAGCCCTGCGGTCGAACGCCAACGCCTGGCATCCCCAGTCTCCCCCTCGCCCGCTGTAAAGTCTCTGGTGCCGCCATCCTCTCCTCTGTATACCCCGACACGCTCGCGGAACGCTGTGGTCGTGTACGAAGACGAGGGCTCGCCTGTTCGTCGCCCCGTATCTGCCGGGTCGTTGCTTGCCGATGATACCCAGACGTCTTCTTCCAGTGTGGAGGACCTCCTGCAGAGCTCACAGTCAAGTGATCTGAGCGACCTGAGTAGACATGACGACTTTTCGGATCACGACGAGGAGAATGACCCTATCATTCATTCTTTTGGACCGTTCGGCGAGAACCTCCTGCCCCGGATGGCTTCTTTCACAGCAGACGAGTCCCCACTGCAGCCTGCTCGTCCACGCAATCAGCTCTCGTCTCAGGGCCTTGAGCACGCCAAATCCCCGAAACAAACAACCAAGACCGTAGAGTCCGCTGCCGATGGCGATAGTCAGGAGGATGCCACACCGGTCAAGCCACAGCCGCTTGATGAAAGTGGTGAACGCGTTCAGAACCACGCTGTCAACCAGCTGGCTTTCTCCCGTCTCTCCTCGACGCCCTTCTCCACCATCCTCAACAACCTTCCGCCGGCCCTGTGGAAACGGGACAGTCACTCGAGACAGGGACCCACGAGAGAAGAGATCCGTGCGATTCTGGATACCACGAAGTGCATTGGCAAAGTCGCCCGTGAAGGAAAGGATGCCGCGGGGAAGGCTCTGGAGAGTGAATACTACTATATCCCGGACTTTGATGAGGACGATATGCGACGGGAGGCCGTTGTTCATGATCTCCGGAAACCCGGCCTCCGAAACTGCCGCAAGCAGCACAAGGTATGAATGACCCTTGCAATCGATTATCGATAGCGATCCCAGCTGACTGGTCCTCTGCAGCAATACTTCTGGCGCAAGCCAAAATAAATAAGAAAGAATCATATATTATCTAAGAATACTTTCCTTCTTTGATTTCCTGGTACATATCTTGCTATGCTTGACTTTTTCCTCCCCCCCACCCTCTTCCCCCTGTTATTTTGTTTCTGTACAAGGACTCGCATAGCGTTGGCGTGGGCATACCCTGTTTATTTTATGTTTGATGAAGGTGTATGATGACGGCGGTTTTTGTTCTTTTTCTTTCTTTTCCTCTGTCTTTCGTTTGGTGATGTGTGTGCGTGTGTGGATGTGGATGGTCCCGCTCAATCGTTGAGGAATAGGCTGTGGTTCTTGTGAGGGATGACTTTTGAGACGTCAGGATTCGTTTCCATTGTTTTGGCAACGGTCTCTTTGGTGTGGTTCTGTCTTTTATGTTCGCATCCAAACACCATGCCCCCCTCTGATGACTTGTATGTTACATTAAAGGTTTCTCATTGAACAAAAGCTTAGTTGATAATGAGGACTCGGTGTGTTTTGTATTGCCATGGGAAGTTGTGTAGGCCTGGTGGGTCTTGGGGTATTAAAGTAGAGAAACTACGCCCAAGCCCTCGTCCCTTGTATGATCGCTCGAGGTAGTTCATTCGGGCTCTGGGATCTGCAGGTTCTACAGCAGACAATGGCACTCGGAGACATGTGGTCCGAAGGGTGGGAGAGGACGACTCAGTACCACTCAGCAGGTGTCTTGTTCGATGGGGAGTGGGGGTGGCATCGGTAGAACATAGGTGTGTATAGCATGTGCATTGGAGGGCCTAATAGCCTAAGACAAGGGGAAGAGTGGAATAGAGACTGCAGTCAAAGGGAATATTATCTCTATACTAGTGTAATTGTTATAACTGATTACTAGGTAGTTTAGTAAGTCAAAATTAATTACAACTCAGTATTATTTAGCTCCAATATTTTATTCACCTAGTGATTGTCTATTGACAGGAGCAGAATAAGTACAATTGTGGATTCTGAGATTGATTCAATTGTTCTTCCTAAGGTATTCCATTTTTATCAGGTGTGGTATAGTTGTCATCCGACCAATAGGAACGTACTATTTGAGATTGTACACTTATGCTGCACTTTGATTGGCTGGAGGGGGGCTTATACTACTACCTAGGCCGCTGCAGGGCATGCATAGCACGTGCATCAACCTTGATTTTCTGGTCTTTGTTCTAGAAAATGGAATTCTCTAAGGGGGGTTGAGCTTAATTTGCTTTTTTGTTTTTCATTAAATTATTTCTTTTACTTGGAATGATAACATGTTCTTATGTCCACGGTGCACAGGCGTTGCCGGATGGAATTAGACTAGGCTTCCTGAAGAGGTACTTTCTTAGGTACCTAACTGACACACTTCTGCCCTTTTCAGTCCCAGACTAATGGGTACAGTACATCACAGACCCGAAATTTACTATACAATTCCACCAAGTCTGGATTGCTCTACTCGACAACCCCAGAGTAGCCGTTCGGTCTTGGGGAATCGAACCTTGTTGGTCCCCCCCCCCCTTTTTTTTTTGTTTTGGCCCCTACACAACTGCGCCTTCTGCGATGTATGCGAACGGTTTTGTTTGCCAGTGTCCCCATCCCATCCATGCGAGTCTGCTGCTTTTAGAGAGCGGGGTCTCCGCGTCTTGACTGGCGGAGTATTTTCATGTCTGTCTGATTCACTGGTGTGGTGTCATGCCATTTTATAGGAGCGGGGCGTGGATCGCGGACGTTATGCTCAACACGCAGGATGATCGTATCTGGTAGTCTATGACTGGGTCTGCTTCTAAGCACAAGTACCTCACGGAGGACTGGGTCATCGAGGTCCAAGTATCGCTCGCCGGTGTAGAAGTTCTTCTGTCTTGGGTCGAGGGTGTTGGTTGATTGGATCGTCGGGGGAGAGACGTTGGTCGCTGCGAGGACGGGATGCCCGAGGTGTTGGGATAAACCTCTCAGGTCTCAGACTCATCGATGTTAAATCCGCCCTCTTCCTTTCGCGGTTCGCGCGCGTACCGAAGAAGGGCACGGGCGGCGGGTAGTGTTGGTACAGGGAACAGGTGGGATTTGGTTTTTGCTCTGCAAGGTAAAGTCAAGTACTGTCTTTCAGCCCCGCGTTGTGGAAGGTAAATGACATCGACAGCCCTAATCTACAGTATACCCATTTCCGGTTTCAAGAAGGGACTTTACCTAAGAGACTTACATTTGAGGATTCTTAACTGAGCTGCTCTTGTTTCGCCATTCTGAGAAGAAATAGCAAAGAGAAGGAAAGGAAAGGAAAGCATTAAAGTAGTCAATGCAACAAAGTGAGCAATGTCAGAGTTGAGAAAAGCGCATCGAGAGCGCCGGCAGATCTGAGCTCAATCCGTCAGGTTTCATCTCCTTTACCAAGAGAAAATAACTTGAATCAATGAAAAGGTCGATTCGTGGGAATAGACCGGTGGTGAGTGAAACGCACTGGTTGGATGCAATGGTGGTTAGCTGGGCTGGTGAGGAGAGGAGATATTATGGTCTACGCTCCCCGACGAAAAGGATTGATCATCGTATGAAGAAGGGATCACACCATCTCTGAATAGACAAAGCCGTGAAAGACATTAAGAACTGATGAAGAGAGGGTGGTTCCAATGGAAGGCAGTTGACCGAGCAAAAAGGCTCATAGCTCGACTTAATGATGGTGATATTGAGGCTACTAAGTTGAACTAGTAGACACAGAGTCTAGCGGTATATCGTATTAATGGCAGGCATCCAAGCCTCCGTCACAAGACGAGTAGGTACTGTACATGACGATCGGATGGTAGTTTCTACTCAGCTGCTCGCGTCTCCGATGCTGCTGCCTCTATTCTCTCGCGCATCACTGTCGCGCTCGATACCAGCCTCCAAAGGAAAGCTCTTAACCAGCAGCGGTATCTCCTCCCAGCTCTTACTGCGATTTCGATCCGAGTTGAGCGGCCACCACTCCTCCAGTATCTGTTGGACCGGCGGCGGAGTCCGCATGGACGGGTCGTCAACGAGGATCCATTCATGCCACAGCTGCCACGCGACGGTCCCAACCGCCTGGACTTGCAATTCCGCAGTTGGCGGTAACCCAGGCCGGGTGACGAGGAACGACTGACTAATTTGCCGGAGAACGTTGACCAGTGACTGGGGGAAGATAATCCCAAGTGACAAGAGATTGACGCGGACCTGCTTGAGCGATTCGTTAGCCTGACCGGAACACATGAGCTTGAAGATGCCTGCGGCAAGCGCCTCGTCGATGGCAGCGTTGTGGAGGATCTCCCGAAGACACGTGAGGTCACCCAGAACGTCTCTTTCATCGGCCACCCCAGCAACCCGCGGATCGCAGTCCAAGTCAAGAACGACCTGACGGAGATGGCTCCACTGGCCGATTGCCCGGTATAAATCGCACTCGCGGGCATCGCCACCCGTGCGCAGCAGCGGGAGGTGGAGTTCTTCCAGCTCGGGGCAGAGTCGAGCCAGGTACCGGAGCTGCTCGCCGTCATTGACGGGGTACTTGTGGCCCTCATCGTCAGGTTGCTCTCGTTGGCGGTACGAGGCCTCCAAGCTCAGCCCTTTCAGTGCCCGACCGTGGTGCGAGACAATCCGATCGAGGGATGAGAAGCTCCGCAGGCTGATCAGGCGGAGGTATTTCAACGGACGGAAAGCCCGCACGGCGGCAATCATCTCTTCGCGGTCTGGAGCGACCCCACGACGGACCCCACTGGACCGCGGGACCATCTTGATGTACAGCCGTTCTAGTCCGGTCAATCGCGCAGCTACTTGCGCCAACAGCTCTGGCTCCGAATAGACCCCAATCTCCAGCGACCGTAGTCGAGACAGGTCGGTCATGGTGGAGATGCGCAGCAGGATCTGCTCCTGAGCCAACCCGGCACCGTCACTTCGGAAACTCAGGGACTCGAGGGAATAGGTGGCCGGGGCAACTGGGACAAGCTTGCTGTAGAAGGAGATGAAGTCTTCCCACTCCTCTTTCACTATCTCGATTGGATTGTCACGGCCTTCGCGTTTGTCGTCGATGATCAAATGCTTTAAATTGGGGGCAGCGAAGATGAGTGGCATGGGCTCGTCGAGGTGTATCCATCGCCATTCTCGCGGATGCAACCCCATCGTGTAAACTACCTTCAGCGTGTGGAGTGTCGGTGCGCGTAGGATGCGGAGATCAAATGGCCTTCGAGCCTCCTTCCTCACCAGCTTACAGGAGCGTCCTAGACCATCGATATCGATAGAAGGGCATTGGGATGTCCAGATATTCAGGCGACAAGTGGGGTGGGACTGTTGGAGTGCGTTGAGGATAACCGTGGGGAATGTGTTCACCACCACATAGTTAAAAGCGCTAAGATGCTGGAGCCGCCGGATCAGAGCGAGGATAGGTTCCCACTCGTTTTGTGGGTACTCATCAACCGTCTCCCGAAGAAAGAGGAGATCCTTGTCATGAAATTCAGTTAATATCCTGGAGAGAAAGCCGTCCTCCGCAGCTCGCGGCTTGAAGCTGATAAATTCGTTGTACCAGTTTTTCTGCTTCCAGAGATCTTTGGCTTTTTGAGTATTTATCCACGTTGGTTTTTCTAGACAAACAAGATCGAGCTTGCGGGCATAACGCAGGTACTGCCGCCCAAGGCCATCGGTATAAAACTCAGAGACGTCATGTTGCAAGCTTGTCAGATCGTGGAACTTGATGCGAAGGTCCATATATAGCTGAGGAGCCGCAACGTTGTGCCAGGTCCGACTGGCTTGGCTTAGGGCAGACAAATCATGCCAGGAATGATCCAGGACCTATCAGGTCTTGTCAGTGTTTATTCAGGAATCTCGTCTGTCTTCATGATCGGCTTACCAAGAGGGAGATCTGTCTTCGGAGCTCTGCAGGAAGGCTATCGATGGTCACCGTCATCTTGTTGATGATATTGGGACCAGAAGACGGAACGGACTGAAGCAGGAGAATCACGAAGACGGGGGTTCAAGAACGCTCTCTACTATTGGCCGGAGGCGTGGGGCGGAACCATGTTGCTGAACTGCGCTCCACCTGATAGTCGAGATAGCCATTCCTCCATTGCTTCCAGGCGCCTGCAAACGCTGTTGTTTCACCATGGACGTCGTCCAATCTTTCATCCATACGCTCGAAAACTGCTCGAAAATTGTTGGCATGATCCACAAACGACTCCTACACTTCAGGGTCATTGAGATAATTCCAGACCGCAGTAGCTGCGTAGAGTTCTTTCATTGCGATCCTTTATTGTAGTGTCAGCCACAAATGTTGGCCAGTTTGTCTCGTCCACCAAGGCGATGTTTCGGAAGACCCTTGATTTCATCCCATTGAACTCTCGTTGCAAAAGGTAGAAGGTTTCCTTATCCCTGCTGCTACCGAGGGCTGATATGTTTCGAAATTGGGGCTTTTGGCGAGATCCAGGTCGTGTGCGTCACCAATGTACAAGAACGTCCTAAATAGAAGATCCTCATGCAGCCTGTTATCACCCCCCGGGCTGTATCAAGACAGAACGAGTAATCAACCAAGTCGAGAGTGGCCTGCTGATCCGAGGCTAATTTTTGAGCAGTCAAATACTGGAAGGACATGGGAACCACCTGAAGCTCCAGGATGTGCTCGTTGTCGTGTTTAGTGCCAGACTTCTGCATTGGATCTATTAAAGGGTATGCGCAGTCCGTTGGATTCTAATGCGTCCAGGCATCTTGATACTGCGCGTCGGTCGTCTTTCGACCACTCGCTGGGGAAGCATAGGGAGCCGTAATCGTCAAGTCATTGTACTAATTTCATAGAAACATTAATTTGCATAGCCTGGAGTTAATCGCCCTAGAACTGGAGTACCTCAGAAGTATTCCACGTAGCTTCCATAGGCGCCAGCGCAGGCAGAGTAGCATTGGCTACCATTTCCTCGCACCACACACACCCCGAGCCTCCTGCGCCGCAGTCATCCTATCCGGAATAAAGGCAGAAAAATTCCATTGTCGGATAGACCCAGCCAGAATGAAGCCGCTCGTGACGACAAAGCCCAGTTGCTCATCGATGACCAGGCTCACTCGAGCCTTCTCTTCGGTGGGATGGCTCGCCGGTCAGCAACAGCCTAACGGGTCGCTTAAGACATTGCCGTACACGCCGGTATCGATAATCTTCCAGCCCAGTTCCGTGGATTGGCAGGTGTCACTGATTGTCATCGACATGTTAGTGATCGCTGCAAAGAGGACTTCGCTTCAAGCCTCGAGCGTGGCCCGACTATCTCTCGTTCGGTTTGCGGGTGACGACATCAACTTGGCGTAGTTGGACGGCGCTGGTCACCGCGATTGCGGTGGATGAAGACCGCTAGCTCGAGCTCGAGCTTGCTGCTCTTCTAGTCGTCCACCTTGATTCCGCCCTCACTCACGTAGACTTGGGGTTTGAAGAGATGAAGAAAGACCTGTTGTGGGTCAAATTGCTGCAAGCCCAACAAACTGGAATGCATCCGAACTTCAACCGCCCGGGTCAACGGTCACTCTCCACTGCCCGCGCTCGGATTGGTCAATTCTGGCTCTAGACTTCGGCACATGGAATGCATTGAGTCGTGCTGCCATTTTGGTGTTGCCTTGCCGGCACATCAGCATGATTCAAGGTCCCCACATCATGGCAATGGCAGACTCGAAAATGTGCAGCCCGCCCGCCAGCTTCCATTTGAATCCAGGGTTCTCCTGATTTGGTTCCCTCAATTCCAATGGCTGCAAAGATGTTTTATGCGGGTCCTTCCCCCGTTTATGAGAGTCGTCGTATTTCTCGAGTCCCATCTGAAGGCGTACTGATTCCCGAGTCACATTCCTGAAACTACTCGAAAGCCAGAATGCACGCCTCCCGGGCCTGGATCTTAGAAGGCCAGCAAGGTCTCTCAAGTCTCAGACTCATCGATGATAAATCCGTTCTTTCCTTGGGCGACCATGACGTCTTGGTGCGCATCCATGCAGCATCGCTCAATCACCGAGACTTAGCCATCGCCAAGGTATGCACTGTCCTTCATCTCTTATAGTCTATTCTTCCCCTCCGCCATCGGACAATAAATAGCTGAATTCCTGTCCACCGCTCAGGGCGCCCATTCCCTCGTTATCAACCCCAATGTGGTAGCTGCATCTGACGGTGCCGGCATCGTCGAAAGTGTCGGGCCTCAGGTGCAGGCCTTCCAACCTGGGGACCGAGTCTGCACATACATGGTGCCGCACAAGCCTAAATCCGAGCCGGCCACCTTCGCGGACATCGGCAGTGGACTGGGCCAGAGGATAGACGGGACGCTGCGTCCGTACGCCGTGTTCCATCAGACCGCGCTGGTGAAGATGCCGTCCGGTCTGTCGTTTGTGGAAGCAAGTACGTTGACGTGCGCGGCGTTGACGGCCTGGAATGCGCTGTTCGGGCTGTCGTCGCGCGCACCGAAGAAGGGGGATGTTGTGTTGGTACAGGGGACAGGTGGGGTATCGGTTATTGCTCTGCAGGTACTGTCTTCTCCCCGGCGTTTAGCCAGCTCATTGCTTTCCTGTTCTCTGGGCGGCTCGATGAATTGAACTGAATGCTATATAGTTCGCAGTAGCAGCAGGTGCCACCGTGATCGCCACGACCAGCTCCGACACCAAAGCACAGCGCCTCCAAGCTCTCGGCGCGCACCATGTGCTCAACTACCGGCGCAATCCCAAGTGGGGAGAGTCTGCGCGACAGTTGACGCCAGACGGGAAGGGTGTACATCTCGTGGTCGACGTTGGTGGGTTGTCGACTGCGAGCCAGTCGCTGAAGGCCGTGCGGCCGGAGGGGGTGATTGCCATGACGGGTCTGCTCGGAGGTGCCCCAGACTCGAATGTCAATACTCTGATCGACTGTCTTGTGAACTTGTGTACGGTAAGAGGAGTTCTGCTAGGCACGAGACAGCAGTTTGAGGAGATGAACCGGTTCATCGAGGAACATCGGATCCAGCCGGCGATCGATGAGAGGGTATTTGAGTTTGAGGAGGTCGAGGAGGCTTATCGGTATATGGATGAGCAGAGGCACTTTTCGAAGATCTGCGTGAGGATTGAATGAAGGAATGAACTAATTGCATAATGTGGCGATACGAACAGTGGAGAGAGAGTATGTACAGTACAAGCTCTAGTAGAGGGAATCAGGTGGACCATAAAGTAGCTTCTCGTACATCCCCGGACCTCCTCATTCTGTACTACTTGCTTCCCCTCATTCTAGACATTCTAGACCGGGAAGTGACGTTGATTTCCTCCCCAACAGCAGTGGCCAGTTCCTTCCCCCCTCTTCTTTCTGCTCTGCTTCCCTTCTCAAAGATCCCAGAACTTTTCTTTTGATCGCCGAAGTTCTTGCCATCGCCCTGTCTCTTATCGTCTCACAAAAGAAGCAAAGCCACCGCCACGCAGGAGACGTCATTCCGAAGGGTGGTGCTATCATTGCATTGAAACGCAACCCTCTCTCTCTCTCCTCTCCTCTTAAATTCATTCAATCTCGCCCCAGTCCTCCCAACTACACTTGGCTCACTTCCAACACACCTATCGAACAAAATTACCCGACTACAGAGTTCCACCTCTACAATTACTTTTACATCTCCCTACCGCATCCCCACCGAACAACTACACAAGGGAAAGACCATCATAAAATGTCCATCAACAAATCCCGAACCAATCGTCCCGACTCAGACGTCATCCAGCTCCCAACAGACAACTCAGCAGACCGCTCCGGTATCGCCTCCTCTTCCGGGGCTGATCTGGGTGCAGCCGCCGGTCCCACTAGCACAAGGACAGAAAAGCCATGGAAACCGCCTGTGGTTCGCCAGCAGAGCTGGAGCAACGAGGACCAGAAGCATGAGCTGCAGACTCGGTTGTTGGATTTGGAGGATGAGGAGGGAGACAGGCCCGGATTCTCGGAGGCGCCGGCGGGGGTTCACTAATCGGGTTCGTGGAGGTTGGATTGGGTGGTGAAGGGAATGGGCGACCGATGATTATGATAGCGGGTGGTTTTGGTGTTTTTCTTATGATTATCATGATGTTTCTGATGATGATGATGATTGAGCATGGGATTGGTGAGTGAATCGGTTTATGCGGATGAATGTGCTTTATGATTAGTTCACACAATGCAGATGTATGAGGGAAGAAGATTACAGCGGCTAGTTTAGGCAAAAGTCTACTGCATCTGCTATAACTGCTGTATACTGGTTAATTGCTTCCATGAATCTGTGCTGAACTGACTGCTGATGCGGGGAAAAATACGGGGCACGATTGCCAGATGATGTCGCTGGCGGGGGCCGGTTAACTTTAATTCATAGGAGGATGATTATTGTCACAGATTTTCTGACTTCAATAATGATAGTGAAGAAAAACAGCAACAAAGTTATGCGCAAAGAGAGTAGTAGTAGGAATTGGCTGTTGTATAGTCCGCTTTGGTTATCGCCATGAGTGGAGAAAAGAGAAAGACGATCATCCAAGCCGCTTTTCCTTCTTCCCCCTCCGCCCTCCTTCCGCCCTCCTTCTCCTCCTCCGCCTTCGGTCCGTCACTCACTGCAACTTTCGTCAGCCACTCTCAACTTTGCAATCTTTCACTTCTCCCTTGACGTTGACGCCCCAAAATAGTGCGCGCGTCACTTTCTCCCTCTCATTCTCCCCAATGTGGCGTTCAAGTCACTTATGCGCCCTCCTTTCCCACTCGCTGAAAGGAATTCTGGATAGTTGAAATCCATCCCACCCACCATAAACCGAGAACATTGCACCGGCGGCCACGCCATGGATCGTCACCGAAAGCGTAAACCTCACCAGAACAGCTTTTCTCCCCCAAGACACGACTGACTAACCATCTCCTTTACATACAGGGGAACTCCGCGATCTCAACGAGCGGGCCTGGGCTGGCGAGACTGGTAAAATTATGCCCTTTTCCCTTTCCGATAATGACGCACCACGTCCTCCTTCCGGCTTCTTTTCACTTTCTCTCTACCCAAACACAAAAAACACACCACACACTTGGCCAGCTGCCCGGAGGTTAATTTCTATAACTAATCCCATCGCCGCAACACAACAGATGCCTTCCCCGTCAGCAAATCCCTCGATTCCGCCCTTAAGAAAAACACCGCCTTCATTAAGCGCCTCCGCACTGGGATCAACGCCTCCGCCCAAGCCACCTTTCTCGCCGACATCCGCACCCTGTCGCTCCACAAGTACCTGTCGGAGATCATCTCGGCCTGCTATGAAGGACTCTGCAAGCTCAAGTCGCCCGGCGAGATCGCCACGGGGGTCGAGATTGCCAGCGCCCTGCACCAGCGGTTCGGCCCCGGCGAGTTCACCCGCCAGCTCGGATGGCTGCTGGGCCGCGGGCTGAGCACCCCGGACAAAGGGCAGCTCAAGGCCCTGAGCCAGGAGGTGCGCGAGCGCGAGGAGAAGGAGCGCCTGTCGCGCCATCGGGTGCTGCTGCGCGTCGTCACGGAGCTCTGGCTGGTGGGCGTGCTGCGCACCCTGGACGATATCGACCGCCCGGATGACCTCGGGGCCGCGGCGGCGAAGGGGAAAGATGCCGGCGTGGTCGGGAAGGCGACCGACGGGCCCGTGAAGAGCAACAAGGCGCTGCTCTCGGCGACCAGGGACGGCGGCGCTGAGAAGGAGTCGGAGCCGTTTCCCATGGAAGTGCTCAAGGATCTTCTGGGCCACGATCGCGATCACTTGAATCTCCCCCTGGCGGTCCTATTTGTGAAGAGCTTCAGTTGGGATGTGCTGGGGACCAAGTTGGTGGAGGAAGGTCGGAAGACGGTCGAGGCGGACGGCGCGACGACCACCACGAATGGCGCCTCGGGGGATGCGGTCAATGGCGGGGGTGCTGAGTGCGAGGCGGAAGAGAACGACCCCCCGCTGATCCCTGAGAAACTCCAGCTGCGTTTCCGCCATGTCCTGAACCGGTACCTGGAGGACGTCAAGGCGCATGTTGTCCGTGATCAGAGGGCATTGACGGCTCAGAGCCGGCGCAATGCCGAGGCGTACGTGAAAAGTGGCGAGATCTTCGAGGACCGTCAGGCCAACTTCGAGAAGCAGACCAAGTCGCTGGAGAAACTGGTTGCCAACACCCAAGTCCTTTGCGAGGCGCTCGGGGCGGAAATGCCGGCTCTAGCTGAGAAGGAAAACCCCGATGCGGCATCGGCTGGAGGAATCGGACTGGTTAAGACGACGGAGTACCTGCGCGGTCAGGGTGAGGGTGCCGGCATCTGGGAAGATGAAGAAGAGCGGCGCTTTTACGAGAACCTGGTTGACCTCAAGGGCAAAGTGCCAGCTGTCCTACTGGAGGATGCCAGGAAGAAGAAACCCGATCCCGAGGAGCCAGCCAAGAAGAAAGGGGATGGCGAAGAGGCAGGCGCAGAGAAATCCGAGTCCGCCGCTCAGACTCAAGTATCGGAGGAGAAGAACGCGGATGCCGACGATCTATCTACAGCCATTGCAAGCAAGACTGTGGGAGCCCAGGTGGACGCACTCCTTGCCAAATTACCCGACCTACAGACCAAGGACCACGTCGATCAGATGGCCTTGGATTTCTGCTTCCTTAACTCGAAAGCGTCGCGCAACAGGCTCATCAAGGCGGTTTCTGATGTCCCCAAGGGACGTCTCGATCTTCTGCCGCTGTACTCTCGCCTGGTCGCTACGCTCGGGCAATATATGCCTGACATTCCCCAGGGCTTGACTACGTACCTTGATGAGGAGTTCAGAAGTCTCCAACGCCGGAAGTCGAAGGAGTTCTTAGGGCAGGTTCGCATGGGCAATGTCCGGTATCTGGCGGAGTTGACTAAGTTCGGCGTGGTCCCTGAGCATATCATCTTCCATTGCTTCAAGGTCTCGCTGGATGACTTCTCGCGCATGAACATCGAGATCATCGGTTATCTTCTGGAGAACTGCGGTCGTTACTTACTCCGCAACCCGGAGACAGCTCCGAGGATGGCTTCTTTCCTGGAGACCCTGGGACGAAAGAAGACTGTTCAACATCTCGGTCAACAGGAGCGGATGATCATCGAGAACGCCATCTACTACGTTGATCCGCCACCCCGACCTGCCATCCAGCAGAAGGAACGTACCCCCATGGAAGCCTACATCCGCCGGATTGTATATCTGGACATGAATAAGCGGAATTACACCAAGATTCTGAAATCAATTCGCAAGCTCCACTGGGAAGAGGGCGAAGTGGTCGATATCCTGGAGAAGGTCTTCAGCAAACCGGTTAAGGTCAAGTATGGAAACATCCACTTGCTCGCGATTCTGGTCAGCGCTCTCTATCGGTATCACCAGGAGTTCGTGATTGGGATCGTGGACAATGTTCTCGAGCAGATAACTCTGGGTCTCGAGCAGAATGACTTCAAGTTCAATCAGAAGCGTGTTGCGGAGGTCAAGTATCTGGGAGAACTCTACAATTACAAGATGATCGACTCGCCCGTCATCTTCGATACCTTGTACCGCATTGTCACCTTCGGTCACGGTGAGTTGTATTCATGGTCAATCAAAAGCAGAATCACTAACGTGTCTATAGAAGGAGGAACGCCAGTGGCTGGGAAGGTCAACCCGCTGGACTTGCCTGATGACTTCTTCCGCATTCGTCTGGTCTGCACGCTGCTCGACACGTGCGGCCACTGCTTTGACCGCGGGTCTGCGAAGAAGAAGCTCGATTTCTTCCTTAACTTCTTCCAGGTACGTTGGTAATAAGTGTGGATCTGAGCTGGACACTAACTCGAGCAGTACTATATGCACACCAAAGACCCGATGCCGATGGACGTTGAGTTTTTGGTTCAGGATACCTACTCGATGGCTCGTCCGCAGTGGAAACTGGCGGCGGACCTTGCCGAAGCTACGCAAGTTTTCGGCGAGGCGGTTGCGCAGAACTACAAGATGCATGATTCCGAACGCCCTGTAGATGTTGAGGAGGAGGATGCCGAGAGCAGTTCTTCGGACGATGATCTGGAAGAGGATGCCATACCTGAGGCGGAAGATGACCAGGAGTCCAGCGATGAAGCTGAGGTCGGTTCACTCCCAAAGGTGGTGAAATCGTGTGCTAACAAGTTTAGGCGTCTGGTCCCAACGCCGACAACACCGGTGAGAGCGAGTCGGAGGACGAGCAGATCTTCGTCACGCGGCAGGAAGAGGAACGTGACCCGGAGGCCGAAGCCGACTTCGACCGCGAGTTTGAGAAGATGATGTCCGAGAGCATGGAGTCGAGGAAGTTCGAGCGCAAGGGCGTGTTTGATATTCCTTTGCCCATGAAGCGGTCCGGTCGCGAGGCAGCGGCGGAGAACGTGAACGTGGCGGAGCCTCCCAAGCCCACCACCAACACGATGGCTTTCTCGCTGATGACGAAGAAGGGCAACAAGCAGCAGGTAGGTTTTTTTTTCTCTTTTTTTTTGTAAGGGGATGGAGAACCATGCTAAAGGTACAGACTCGCACCATTGATCTACCGTCCGATTCCAGCTTCGCGGTCGCGATGAGAAGCCAGCAGCAGGCGGACCGGGAGGAGCAACAGCGGATCAAGAGTTTGGTGCTGAACTACGAGATGACCAACGAAGTCGATGCCAACTCCGAAGGTGTGTTTTTATTTATGTGGAGGTTGCGTGAAGCTAATTTTTCTCTAGACTCCGCTGCCGAAAAACGCTCTCCCCATCGCGATACCCGAGTCGACAAGTCGGGCAGTAACCGGATGGCGTTCCGGTCCCGGAAGCTTCAGCTCAGCGATGTGAACTGGTAAAGGGCTTGGGGTTTGGTAGCACTACGGTGTTTCGCGAGCGAAGAACTCGCAGGTATCTGCATGGGATTTGTTACCCGAGACGTAATCCCTTTCCAGCTGTTGGCAGCAGGCAGCGGCAGCAGGCGGCAGCAAGAAAGCAAAAGGCCATGGTCATGACAGCCAATCCGAGCCAGTCTGTCACCGACAGACCGATTATGCTATTCTCGTCCTGAAGAAGGAATGCCCATGACATTCGTCTCTGTTCAACACAGCGTTTGGGAAA